ATCATTAAAATGTCCACACTACCCAAAGCGATTTATAGATTCAATGCAATTCCTATTAAAATACCAACAGCATATTTCACAGAGATAGAACAAATATTCCAAAAATTTATATAGAACCAAAAAAAACCCTGAATAACCGCTGCTATCTTGAGAAAGAGCAGAGTGGGAGGGATCACTTTACCGGATATCAAACTGTACTACAAAGCCATTGTAATCAAAAGAGCCTGGTATTGGTACAACAACAGACATACAGATCAATGGAACAGAACAGAGGCCCCAAAAATAGACCCACGCAATTATGGTCATTAATATTTGACAAAGGAGACAACAGCATTCAATGGAGTAAAGACAGTCTCTTCAATAAGTGATGCTGGGAAAATTGGACAGGTATATGCAAAAGAATGAAACTAGATCACGAACTAAACACAAGAATAAATTCAAAATGGATAAAAGACTTAAATGTAAGTCACAAAACCATAACAATCCTGGAAGAAAACATAGACAGTAAAGTCACAGACATCTCATGTAGTGGAATTTTCACTAATACATCTACAAGGCAAGAGAAACAAAAGAAACAAATAAACAAATGGGACTATATCAAACTAAAAACCTTTTTCACAGCAAAAGAAATTAGCCTCAAAATACAAAGGAAACCCATGGTATGGGAGAACATATTTGTCAAGGCTGTATCTGATTAGGGGGCTAATTTCCAAAGTGTACAAAGAACTTATACAACTCAACAAGAGAAAGACAAACAATCCAATTAAAAAATGGGCAAAGGACCTGAATAGACACTTCTCCAAAGAGGACATATAGATGGCCAAGAAACATGAAAAAATAAATGCTCATCAGAGAGGTGCAAATTAAAACCACAATGAGGTATCACTTCACACCTGTCAGAATGGCTCCATCAACAAATCAACAAATGACAGGTGCTGGTGAGGGTGTGAATAAAGGGGAACCTAGTACACTGCTGGTGGGAATGCAGACTGGTGCAGCCACTATGGAAAACAGTATGGAGGTTCCTCAAAAAATTAAAAATGGAACTATGTTTTGACTCAGTGATCCTACTTCTAGGAAGATATCCTAAGAATCCTGAAACACTAATCAGAAAGAATATATGCACTCATATGTCCATAGCAGCACAATTGACAATAGTTAAGATCTGGAAACAGCCCAAGTGCCCATCAGTAGATGAGTGGATAAAAAAGCTGTGGGACATTTATACCATGGAATACCATACAGCTATAAAGAAGAATCTTTTACCCTTTGGGACAGTATGGATGGACCTGGAGAATATTATGCTAAGCGAAACAAGCCAGACAGAGAAAGACAAACATCACATGACCTCCCTTAAATGTAAAATCTAAAGAATTTAATAAACTGATGAACAATATAGATTCAGTGACATGGAAGCATGGATCAGACTGATGAATCTCAGAGGGAAGGTGGGGAGAGAGATTAGTCAGAGAATTTATATGTATATATGCATAACCCAAGGACACAGACAATAGTGTGGTGAGGGACTGGGGAAGGGGTGGGTGGAAGGGGTCAATGGGGCGAAAAAGGGACATCTGTAATATTTTGAACAATAAACAAAAAATATTTTAAAATTTTTTTAAATTAAAAAATTGGGACGGATATGTCAGCTGTGGAGGTCCCCCCTAAGGAGTTAGGGGTCCCAGCCTCACACCAGACCCCCCAGCCCAGGATTCCAGTGCTGGGAAAAGAAGTCCCTATAACTTCTGGCTGGGAATGAGGCTGAGTGAGACAGAGGTTGCTGAGGTCCCAGGCAGTTCCTCTTAAAGGGCCCAGCACAGACTTACTCAAACTCACCACCTGTGAGCTCCAGCACTGAGACAGCAGCTTGAAAGGAACCAGGGATACATGGCGATAAACTGCATCTGGCATAAGAGCGAGAGCTGGGGAGGCAGCTTTCTTTTACACAGAAGTGAGGGCAGAGGCCACAGTTCCTTTGATGAGCCCTCCCCACACAGAGCTAGCAGGTAAGAACCGTATCTGAGTCTCCATCAACCTGGATTAACACTGTTAGCCCCACCCTGGTGATTCTCTGAGGCCCTACTCCACTCAACTTTCAGGCCAACTCAAGCTGTTTCCAGTGGCTTTTCTATACAAATGGCCTGTCTTGGCTCATGCTTCAGATTTTCCTAAAATCTCTCAAACAAGCAGCAGCATGTGGCCTTAGCAAGCCCCATACCTCTCCTAAGTGGCCCTGCCAGCACTAGCAGTAGGCAGCCTTGGTTCACAGCTTGGTCTTGCCTGGGCACCTCCAAACCCAACAAAATTAACAGCCAACTGCAGATCACTTTGTAGCTCATGGCACGTGGCACTGGGACAGAACACAGGCAGCAGCTGACCTTGGCCTGCACCTGCCACAAGGCGCCAGAGTCAGCACACCCAGTGGACAGCTTCAGATCAGGTCAAAGCATCACCACCCAACCACCTCCACAAGCAACACACTCAAGGGGTGGAATTAACAGGCACCAGAGCCCCACTGAAGCAAGTCCTGTTCTATGTGGTGGGCCCCTGCACAGCTGATCCTCCACGGTGGTCCCAATCAGTCCTTGCAGTTGATTGGCCTGAGGGTAAAACCCTCCCACTGATGTGCCAACAGCAATCAAGGCTCAACTACAACAGGAGGGTGTACAGAGCCCACACAGGGGGCTCACCTGGAATGCCCAGCTTGCGTGATCGGGGAGGCTGTGCCACTGGACCCTACAGGACACCTACTACATTAGGCCACTCTACCAAACCTGGGAGACATAGCACCTCTACTTAATATGTAGAAACAAACACAGGAAGGCTGCTAAAATGAGGAGACAAAGAAACACATCCCAAATGAAGTAACAGATCAAAATGCCAGAAAAAGAACTAAATGAAATGGAGACAACAATCTACCAGATGCAGAGTTCAAAACACTGGTTATAAGGATGCTCAGTGAACTTAGTGGGAACACCAACGGCATAAAAAAGGACCAGTTAGAAATGAAGGAGACACTAACTGAAATCAGGAATAATTTACAGGGGATCAACAGTAGAGCAGATGAAGCTGAGAATCAAATCAGTGATTTGGAAGATAAGAAACAAAAAACACCCAATCAGAACAGCAAAAAGAAAAAATAATCCAAAAAATGAGGATCATGTAAGGAGCCTCTGGGACAGCGTCAAGTGTATCAACATTCACATCATGGGTTTTGGAAGGAGAAGAGAGGGAGCATGAAATTGAAAATCTATTTGAAGAAATAATGACAGAAAACTTTCCTTACCTGGTGAAAGAAATAGACATACTAGTCCAGGAATTGTAGAGGGTCCCAAGCAAGATAAACTTTAAAAAAGCCCATACTAAGACACATCATAATTAAAATGCAAAAGGTTAAAGATAAGAAAGAACCTTAAAAGCAGAAAGAGAAAAGCAGTTAGTTACCTACCAGGGAGCTTCTATAAGACTGTTAGCTGATTTCTCAACACAAACTTTGCAGGCCAGAAGGGACTGGCAAGAAATATTCAAAGTGATGAAAAGCAGGGACCTACAACCAAGATTACTCTACCCAGCAAAGCTATCATTTAGAATCAAAGGACACATAAAGAGGTTCCCAGATAAGAAAAAGCTAAAGGTAAAGAAGTTCATGACCACCAAACCGGTATTACAGGAAATGTTAAAGGATCTTCTTTAGGAAGAATAAATAAAAAGATAAAAAACGTGAACAACAACTGAATCTAACAAAATAAACAAACAAGCAGAACAGAAACATACTCATAGATACAGAGAATGTTTTGACTACTGCCAGGTGGGAGGGGGGTTGAGGGTAAAAAAGGTGAAGGGATTAAGAAATTGGTAATTACAGAATAGTCATGGGAATGTAAAGTATAGCACAGAGAATATAGTCAATAATATTCTAATAACTATTAATGGTGTCAGATGGGTGCAAGATTTATCAGTATGATCACTTACTAAGTTATATAATGTTTAAACACTGGAGTGTACACCTGAAACTAATATAATAATGTATGTCAACTGTAACTAGAAATATAAAAGATTATAAAATGAAAGAAAAAGAAACCTTATAGTTATACATCTTCTCTATCACACACAGCATATACGTCTTTCATAGATAAGACAGCATATATCTCATAATCCCAAATGAGGTTTGGAGTGGCTTTGTATCCCTCCAGGAGTTAGCATAAGACTTTGCATACAGTAGGTATCTATGTAGCAAAGGGGGCATTAATAACTCCTTGGCAGTTACAAAGGATCATGAAGGGCCATCTAGGGAAATTTGGAAACTCTAGGAGCTATGAGAGAAGTATATTTAGGGGTTATTTCATTACTTGACTTCTCAAAGTCCTAACTATAACAGTATATATCGGAAGTAGGTGGCTGATCTGGTCATCTGGACTAACAAATCTGAATGAGTCTCACCCTTATCACCAGCCATAGTTACATAATTATAGTTCTACTGTTGTTCATGCCCGGGGTATGAGATTTCTTAATCCTAGAAATGTCTTCTCAAAGCACCCATGGAAATATCCTCCCTCTGAACATTACTGAAATACCCACAATCACCTCCAATGAGTTACACTTTATTATATACTTAAAGTGGCCCATCTACATTCCTGAGACTTCTAGTCAACACCAGATCTTCTATAAGTATTTCTTCTTGGGATAACAGAGTGAAAATAAGAAGCTGGATAAGAAATACAGGCCAAAATGGAAAGAGGAAAGATGACAGAGAAATCACTCACATCGAAACAATAGGCAGCTTGTGGGCTGACTGGCAAACTGCCACTGTCACCAGTGGCCTAGTGTTTCATTAGCGATGCCTTATTCTACTTCATATGTTCCTGTCAAAATCCTCCTAGAAGCAACTGCCTGCAATTAAGTTTGAAAACATGTGAACCTATTTCCTGAAATAAAGCAGAGCAGGGTCTGGCAGGTGGCAGCCTCATAACTTGAATTGCTTCCTGTCAATAGCCACTTACCTTTTTTTCCTTCTTGCCGAAGCTGAGGCCAGGGGTCCCTTTCTCAACAACTATGCAGGAGATGCCTTTGGGGCCCGGTCCTCCTGTTCGGCACATGACCACATAGATGTCTGATTCCCCTCCACCACTGATGAAGGCCTGTGGGGTTGTGAGGGGTGTGCACAGGGATCAAGGATGCATGAGTTCTCAGAGCCTGCCATCCGGGAAAACACTTAGGGGCCTCCCCACAGTAGGACACTAAAAGGTACAATAGCACAGATATAAGAAGGGGTAAAATGAAACTGCACTGACTGGGAAATCAGGGATCTAGCTGATGAGACTATAAGAAGAATAGACAAAAATGAATGAAATTATCTGGAATCAGATCAGAAGAGATAGAAACAGTGAAGGTAAATAAAGGGAAATGGGGAAGAGGCTCTCTTCCCAACAAGTAAAAATCCTACAGGCATATTAACTTGCAGATAGAAAGGATCCACGTGCTGTCAGCAAGAAGATGGAAACAACCTCCAAGTTGTTCCAGGAGGAGAGCAGGCTGGTACCTTGGAGCCATTAAGGATGTAATGATCTCCTTGCCGTTTAGCTGAAGTTAAAAGGGAGGCAGCATCACTCCCACTTCCTAAGGCAGGGATCAGAGAGAGGAGAGAGGGTGGGGGAGAAAGTCAGTGAAGTTAAGGGAGCTCCAGCATGGTCCCATCTCCTAGGAAACCTTCCCTTATAACACACAGCTCAGAGTTTGGTACTTAAAGATCCAGATGGCCAAAGGAATTCTCTGTACTGGGTAAAAATTGCATATAGCTTTCAGACCATTTCCATCTTCATCACGCTGGCTTGCAGCGAGCCTCCTAGGAGCCTGGAGAAGGTTTGCCCTCAAGGCCTCTTAGTTTTGTAACATCAAGTTGTGAGACTCTGTTGCTTTTGGCAAACAACGGCTACAGGTATCAATGGGCTAAGGAGGGCTCAGTGCCCGCACTTGCGTAACATCTCACCTGAAGGATGGCAAACCCACCTGGCTCAGTGAGGCAGTAGGAAGCAAACTTCTCCATGGTACAGAGCGGTGGGCAAAATTTGTGCCTCTGTTCCTCATTTCCAAAGGTGTCGATTATCCAGACACACATGCTGACAGGTATAGCAAGAAGAAAAGATATTCACAGAGATATTTGAGAGGGGAGGGAGAAAGGGAACAAAGGCAGGAAAGTAGACAAAAGCAAAGAGAGGGAGAAGGGAAAAGTCACAATTGAGAAGATTCAACTTTAAAGGAAAGGCCTGGATTACAAACATATTCCTGGAACGCGTACCACCCAGAGATAACCAGGGCCAAAGTATTTCTCACTTGGATGGTCATGATGCTTCTAGTTAGGTTAACGGAGCTCCCTAAAATTCAAAAAGCTTTATGTACTTTCCCGGTTCCTGGAGGTTTCCTCTTTGGGTTGAGGAAAAGGGAAGCAGGGCCCTGAGACTCTACTGGATAAGTCTGTTTGGTCCCACTCAATCCAGGATTTGGGAGATGGCAGGCAGACCCGACTCTCTGAGCAACATACAAGATGACAGCAGCAGACCTACCATGAACTTTTAATAGTCTGGTTCTTCAAAGGCAGCAAACTCAAAAAGATAAGTCTTTTCCCCGTTTATCTGAAGCTTCCTAGTCAACCCACATGAGCGCGTTGCTGTGCTCTGCAAGCTTGGGCACTCACTTGTGGATGCTTATATAGGCTGTGGTGCTGGTGCATCCTGTGGCCAAGGCTTCAAAGATGACAGAGGTATCGAGCCGTGACAGTCCAGACCCACCTACATCGGCTCGTGCGTAGATTCCACCAAAGCCTAGCTGGGCTGCCTTCCGCATCACGTCCACTGGGAACAGTTCCTATGTGTGACAGAGAGCAGGGTCATCAGTAAGTGATTCATAGATGGATTTGTCTTTAGAGGGCACATGAGGGGTTAAGACGCTTGCATTTGGGAGGGTATGGAGTCTCTCAAGTTAATAAGCCACCTGTCATCTATACTGTTAAAATGCATTCTATAAGAACTGGTTTTCTGGCATTAAAGTTGCTTTTCATTATCAACACAACTGCCTTGGTTTTAGAAGTGGAAGTGGTTCGAATCTTTGTATAATATAAATAGAACAAAATTGGTATTTTCAAGATGAGGAGGATGCCTTCTGGGAAAGGAATCACATCATCACCAGCACTCTCGTTTGTAAGTGAGAATCAGCGCTGCACAGTCAGGACTGCACGGAGATGAAGAAAAGGCATCTATTAGAACATCTACGGAACACTCCTACCTTCTGGTCCCACTCTGCCATGTGTGGAGCCATCTCCCGGGCTGCAAAGTCAAAGGCCACTTTCTGATATTCTTTCTGTTCTTCATTTAGTCCGATGGAAGCTGTGGGCAAGTGCATATATTCAGTTCCAGAACAGGGGCCTGGGAAGAGTACCACAAACAAGCACCACCCCGAAGTTGAAACAGTGGACGTGCCAGAGCATTTCCCATACACAGTAGTACCTTTAACATCCAAAGAATGACATCATCCACCACTAATCAGTTCTGTTGATATATTGTCACCTTTTTCCTTCTTCCTTTACTCCCAAGTGGATTGGCTAACTTCATTTACCTACTAATTATTCTTCCAATACTTTAACTCTTCCTCCTTATAAATCCACACTAAAATAACAATAAACACACATTGACCCTCAAATTATGGTAAACATTTTTTTCTTTTAGGATGTCCTACCTGTTCTGTTAGTGTCCTGGGGAAATCCTGTCCTATCTATGTATATCTGTCTATAGCTGTCTATCTGCACCAACAGTCATTTTATGTTTTATTTTAATTTTTTAAAATATATTTTTATTGATTTCAGAGAGAGGAAGAGGGAGAGAGAGAAACATCAATGATGAGAGAGTCATTGATAGGCTGTCTAATGCACACCCCCTGCTGGGGATTGAGCCCAAAACCCAGGCATGTGTCCTGACCGGGGATTGAACTGCAATCTCCTGGATCCTAGGTCAATGCCCAACTGCTGAGCCACGCCGCCAGGCACCAACATTCATTTTAAAAGATCAACTGGGAAAGGAAGATACTTTGGCTTATCTTCCAAATTAAGGAAAAGGTCCTATAATAGGGCCATGCATTTGGCAAGTCTCAGACATTCATTGAGAACAATATTGATGAATATGTTTCAGTGCTGAAAGCATGGTTAAGGCCTTACTATATCTGTTTTCACCCCATGGACTCAGAATTCTTAGAACATTTTCTATCCTGACTATCAGTGCTGTGACACTGGGTAATTCCTTCACTTCTAGGTCTAAGATACTTAGAAGCTAAGGACAATGAATAACTGAGTAATACCAATGAGCAGATAGGATAGCTTCACTGGGAGAAGTTCTCTAGAGCCTTAACTATCTTGGGAAAGACTCCACTGTGAGTATTTCATCAGAGGTGACTCTCTCTGGGAGGCAGATATCTACATCTGCCTACATAAAACTGACTATTCAACTCACAATATCATTACTTTACAAATTTTCTTTAACCAGTCAGTTCCCCTAATGACGTGAACACTCTGTTTTTCACATATTTTACAAAAACTGCACAGAGTGAGATAGGACTGAATTGGAAAGTAGAGCTGCACTGAGCCCTCCTTAGCCCATTGATACCTGTAGCTAGTAAAGTAAGGTCTAAAATATGTTTCCTGGTTTGCAGGTAATACAGATTTCCAGCTGGAGGCTGGCCAGAAGCTAAAGGTAAAGACCTAGGAAAGCGCCTGTGAAAACCGACAACCTTGTAGGGACAGGGTAGAGAATTTAGAAAAGATAGGACTACAGATTCTGGGAGCCAGCACCCCACAGCAGGAGGGTAACCCCACAGGGTAAATCAGCCTTTTGCTATCTCGGTACTGCCATTTCAAAAGGACCACCTGCCTCAGTGTGCTAAGGAAACCAAAGGAGTATATGTCTACACTTGGAGGCACAGTGAAGTCCCGAGGTACAGGGGTGGCTGTAAAAGTGAAAGGGGAAAAGAGAAACTTTTATCTTCTAAGGTTTCCTCCTGCAGTACTAAAAACTCGGTCATTCTGGGCCGAGGCTAAGGAGCACTAGAGGCTATGGAGCCACACTCAACAGTAACCGATTTCAGGGCCCAACACCGACACACAGCCCTTCCAGCAGACAGCATGCTCAGGTGGCAGTGTTTCTCTGGGTCAGGGCTGGCACCTCCTCTGTGGGGCAGGAGGAAACAGTCTGTCTGTACCAGGACACTCATTAAATGGGAAACTCAGAAATGAATCCTTGTGAGGATTGAAGATTAGACAACCTTGAGCAGCTCAGAGCAGACACCTATGTTAGGCGTTATCCTTGGGGATATCATTAGGGATAAGCAATTCATGATTTCCCAGTGGGAGTCAGGTCACTCATTTGCACCATCTTGCAGAAGTGTTCCTGTAGATATAACTCAAAGACCATTCCCAAAAGAAGTGCTGTCTGTCTCCTGGGGAGCAGTGCTGAGATTACAAAGATGAATTTGGGCCACTCACACAAAGGATGACACAAATGGTAATACTGCAAACATCTCTCTGTGTAGAGAGAAGTGCTACAGAATTTCAGTCCCAGCAAGAGCTCAATACATGTTTACAGTTATTATCATTATTTGACAGAGTAAAACAAATAGTTCCAGGAAAAAATAGATTTAAATTGCATCCTAAGCAAATAATAGGGAATAGGTGTATGCCAATCATATATATAAATAAATACAACATAGTTATATTTTTTATGATAACAAATAGTCAACTTTAGCTAAAGGGATGCCCACGAAAGGAGAGCATTACTTGGAGGGAAAATAGTGGAAGAGGCAAGTTGAAAACAAATTATACACACGAAGCATGGTTACTAATTAAAAATACCTAAGTTCCCAGAAAACATACACTATAAAAACAAACCCAAAAGCTCATGAAGTTTGCTGGAGTTTACTGGCAGAGTTCAAGGAGCCAACACCCACACACAACCACACTAAAATGGCAAAGCCAAGTGGGAACAGGGCCCAGGTGACATGACGAACGCCTTCACTGTATAGCAACTCAAATATGAGCAGCAGGCGAAAACACACGCACAGAGAAAAACTCCAAGTAATACAGAATCTCTCAGTGCATCCAAAGTACAGAATCAATATTCTATTTGAGAATCTTGGTGTTCAAGGAATGCCTGGGAAGCTGCCCCCAACTGCAGTGAAAGAGCACTGGAAAAAGATTAGTCCCTAGAGCTCTGGTTCTGAAATTATTGTGTGACTATCAGTAAGTCAGGTACAGCTGTTAACCCTATTATCACACTGTAAAATGCCGGTGCTCCACCAACACTGAATGAATTTCCTCATTTGCAAAATGATAATAATGCCTGTAAAATGGGGAAATTATATATAAATGTGTAATATATGTTAAAATATAATAAAACCAGTTTTCTTAAAAATTATTTTTCAGCCCGGCCGGGCGTGGCTCAGCGGTTGAGCGTCAACCTAGGATCCAGGCGATCAGGGTTCGATTCCCGGTCAAGGCACATGCCCAGGTTGTGGGCTCGATCAATGACTCTCTCATCATTGATGTTTCTATCTCAGTCTCTCCCTCTTCCTTCCTTTCTCTGAAATCAATAAAGATATATTTTAAATAAAAAAAAAATTATTTTTCATATTAAAATAAGCAATGAAACAATGAGAATTATTTGTTGATCACTTCCACCAATGTGATATTTTAACATGTAGGACAAAATATTGACAGGACACCTTCCTTTTATTTTACTATTTAAAAAGATAATTTCCTTTAAAAACATGAAAAAGTACCTTCCTGGCTGAAGTTACACAAGGTGCTGGAAATACTCATACTTAACCTACCTGTTGACAGAACAACCCCGTCTGCTGTGGTAAGGGAGACCCTGCTTACGAAATCCTAAGTGGACCCTGAGAAGAAAACAGTGTTCTACACCGTAGTGTACTTTTTAGATCTGAGCGTCAATCTAAGGGATTCATAGACTAGCCTGCTTTAAAGAAAAGTGTCATTTATTTAAAATTTTAAAACATGTATTTCAGAAGAAAAAAGTGGTTAGGTGCTTGACAGAAGTGCAAAGTGGCTGCGTAGCTCCCAGACAGCCTAGGCCCTCACCCCTCCCTGGTACTCACATCTGAATTACCTGCCCATCCCTGAGACATTCGGCTCTGTCAACTCTAGTAGCTTCCCATTTGCAATATTTCTTTTTTCCTTAGGAATTTCAACAGTAAACGTGCTTTATAGCTACAGGTGTAAATTTATAAAATTGAAATATGTGAGCAAATCCTGTATTACTGGAGCTTTTGTTCTCTATCACCACCAGCACCAGGCTTTTTACATTCTCACTGCCTTCACGACCTAGTTGTGATTTTAAAAGCACCCCAAAGCCACGAGTTCTGCACCTCTCTAGGCTCCACTTATCATCTAAAAGCAGGAATAAGTGTACCTCAGAGTCGTGAGGATACATGTAAAGCCCTCAGTTACTGTACCTATTTCCTAAGTAAACTTACGAAACATACCAAGAGGTTGACAGTACAAACTAAGGTTAAGAAAGATCTGAACAATAAACGAATAGCATCAGCAACGAGGATTGCGCTGTATTAGGCTGCAAAGTATTTTCACATCTCAGTTTATCTTCAGAGGGACCCCTGCGGTAGGAAGGCAATGTTTCGGACAAGAATCTCCAAGTTCCTCTAGACCAGTGATTTTCAACCTTTTCCATCTCACGGCGCACACACTAATGACTAAAATTCTGCGGCACAGCAAAAATATATATATATATTTGCCGATCTGACAAAAAAACTGGTATAATTCCGATTCATTCACATCCCACGGACGTTGTTGTGTTGGCCATGGTCACTTCTTTATTTGACAATCTAAGGGAAAAGAGGTCGGTGCCGCGTGTTTTGAAGATTCTTGCGCCCACAGGCGGAAACTCGCTGCTCTGGGCGGTGCGCAGGCAGGAGAAGGACGGGGCTCAGGGCCGGGGAGGCCTGGACCGCGCGGCTCAGCAGCCAGGCCTCGCCCGCACGTC